CCCCAAAACCCCAAAACCCCTCAAAACATAATCTGCTAAAAATAGTATAATAGTACTCAAAGTAAATTGAAACAAATAAAATATCATATTATTACTGATTAATAATTAGGCAATGTAATTAAATATCAACATTCAAAAGCCATTTTATCTCAAAATCTCAACTGAATAATAGATTAATAATCTTGCAAAAGCCTCAAACGTACCTATTATAAGTCTTATTAAAATCAAGTTATTGTGATGTCTGTACTGACATAAGTATTAAATTGATTTTTTATTTCTGGATTAAGTCTCTTTAAATCTTCTTTAATGAAAAAGGTGCATATTGAGCCTATCATGCACGTAATTAGAAATATTCCTATCACAATAATTGGACCAGTTTTGCCATCTGACGAACTGATGTGTGAGGAGAAAGCTCCCTATTAAGAGAAATTATTATTACTGATTTGATTAGCTTACCATTGCTGAGCCATAAATTTAGCAAACCATGTTCATCATTCCATTTGAAATGGATTCAGGTACAGGAAATGTCAACTCAACTGCAAAAGCATAGCCTATTGGGATGATTGGAGTAATAAAGAATCCAATAAATGCGAGATTTACTGTTAATAGGATAACGTTTGAAGAGGGAAGAGTCCAAAATGCAAGTGCTAAAGAAAGACATGCTAAGGATGAAATAAGGTTTGTAACTAGCTTATACTTTGCATATTTATCAAGTAAAATTCCAAAAATAAAGGATCCTACCACTCCAAAGAAAATAAATGTTGCTCCAAATATGCTATTATCAATAGGTTTATATCCAAAGGGTTTAGTTATAGAACTGACAACAGCACCAAGAGTTGTGTACAATCCATGCATGAATATGAATGTACAACTAAGCAATAAATAGCTTTTATTACTCAAAATTATTCTCAATTCTCTCCCTAAATTTAATTTAGGTTCTTATCTCAAAGCAGAATATCTGATATTAATATTCATCAAAATAATATTACGATGGAGGTAAACTTGGCTTATCCTTTGCTACAAAAATAATTGGAAGGCTTAACACAGTTACTATGATGTTTTGAACTAGAATATATTTGTAAAAAACTTTTTGTTTATCTCCTTCACCTCCAAAGAAAAGAGCAGGGACTATAAACCCCAAAACGCACCCTATTGGCAGTGACAGTCCTCCGACAGCAGTTGCTAGAGCTCTCTAATATAATATATTTGACAATAAATATTAATTACTTCCTTGTCTCCAAACCAGACAGTAGCAAGTCTACTCCCAGTGTTTAGGAAAAATACTTAAGCCATTGAACATAAAATTGTGCCTGGAAACATTAAGTAAATATTTCCAGAAATTTGAACAAGTAATCTCAACCAGCAACCAATAATACTTAGAACCGCACCAATTAATAACTAATAGTTAACTGAAATAATAATTACGCAAAATCTCAAGCCATGTTTATTAAGTGCATAGATGACTAAGAAATTACAAGGAACAAACATCACTAAAAATGTGAGACATTGAGCGTCAACTATAATTTTTTCACAATTAAATGCATCAGCTATAACAGAGGCAACTGGACTGAATCCAACCATTAGAAAACCATCAGAAATTAGTGCCATTGTAAAGAAAATTTGAATCCACCATCTTAAAGGATGGAGCGTAAATTTTTACTCTTGATTTGTGCTCAAATCATCTGACTTGCTCTAAATTAGTTGCCTTTACAGAGTCTACCTATGAAGTTCATTCTCAGATTCGCTTTAAGAGGCTGCAATAAAATTATTTCGTATTTAGTTTACCTTCTTTAGTTGTCATAGAGATTGTAAATTTGGAACTTTTTTACTATATATTTATAATAGCTATTTAATTCTATTTCTGGCAATCTATTTATGAATTATTCATCAATTTCAATCTAATTAAGCTCTGTGGGGTTTTGGGGTTTTGGGG